GGTGTGCATCAAGGGGACGAAATCGATCTGGGACTGCAGGTACACAGGTCCCGGAAGCACGTGACCTGCGTTAAGCATTCGCGTATCCGCTGCGGCGCAGCCTGCGTCATGATGTCCGCCATGAAGTCCGCATGGTGCAATGGCAACGGCCGGCCAGCGAAGGAAGGCAAACTAGCGGTATATGTTTGCTGAACGTTATTGAAGGAGGGCTCCATTGCAAAATGGCGGTGTTCTGAGGCTGTCGGTGTTGGGCGTGCGCAAGTCAACGCGGCGTTTGCATGAAGGAAAAAAGATAAGCTGCTTACGTCTAAAGTCTGTGGTCAGAAGGGACAATCCAGCTCCTAAAAGTTGCCCGCCAAATAGTTAGTGCTAGGTCTGAAAGTTAAAGGCACGTCTGAGGTCCAATTAACTTTGTTACGCGTTAGTGTGGACTTAGTGTACGGGGTGTTTCCACTAGGTTCTCCGCCAGGAGTGCCCCAACCTCCAATTTGTTTGATGAATATTTTCTACTATCATTAGTTATATCAATTGATGTATTTAGAACGGTGAGAGACGAGTCCAGGACGAAGAACATTCAAACTTAGTGTTAGTGTTCGGCCAAGTGGAAACACCCTGTAAATTCCATTGGTCCATCGATAGAGAATCAGAATAGCTTTCAGACGCAATTTTAACGGGGTGAAATAAGATGAAATGTTACACCATGACTGACTGACGGACGGACAGCAGTGAACCTAGGGGGCTCGGCCCCCCGAATGGCGCTTCGCGCCCGGGGCCTCGCCCAAAAACAGAAAAAAAACAATACATGACCAACCTAACCACCCGCTAACAAATAGCCTGCGGAAAACCTGTGAAACTGCGAAGGTTAAAACGCGCTAATACCGCATCTACTTCACAAATATCGTCGATGTCTCTCCGAAGGACATGTCTGCCTAATTTGTTCTCAAACATTCTCAAACATCGTAAAAAGTGGCAGAATACCGTAAAAAAAGCAGCAGTAATCCAAAAGTACGATGCACTGGCGGACAAACAAACAAAACGAAACAAAACCAAAAAAGCCAACAAATCATGCAAACAAGCACGAACGCACGCAAATGACGTGCACGTACAAATAGAAGGCAGCACACAGTAAACCCAGAAACCAATCTTTCAGCCTGTCCGTGCTGCGCATACAATATAGCTGTGCATGCAGCACACGAAAGGAAATGTATGCTGCATTCACGCGAAAGGTGATGCCACAACAAAGAACAACAACAACAACAGCACTACGACTGTGCTTACTCCAATCTTTCCACGACCGTCAAAAACATATTTCCAAAAGAAACGTCCCACATGCGGTTGGCACCACAACACACTACACCACCGCTAGCTAGGTCGGAAAAGATCTGTTAAGGTCAGTTAAGGGCGGGACTTTAGAATCAGTTGCTCGCCGGACGCGCGCCGGCCGCTAAAAGAGCATTTGCTTTTGATCATGCATAGGTACTCACGTTTCCGTTGAGTGCCCCTCCTCAAACGTCCTGATTCTTGGTTATTTCATTTCCTGCATGAAAGCGCAGCTGCGCATAAACAAAACTCTCGTCACATACGCGCGAAACCCTAAGTTCCTCAGCCTGGTCTGAACAAGGTCGCGGCAAATGGACAATATTCGAATCTGGTCGCAGCCACCTCACGTTACGTTTACAAGGAGATACACAACACCTTGTGGATATTAGTTTTGAGCTCAACCAGCGCGAAGCGCGATTTATTGTCCCCCGGGAGCCCGTGGAACTTGTTCAAACGCAAACGATTTTTCTTTTAGCCAGAAGAAATGCACGCTGCAATGGATGATGTATAAGGCTAAAATCATTGCTGAGACAATATGTTTGGTCGTGTTACCGAGCGACGTCGCGGGTATGGCCAACATTACACGCGCGTCGCGCTACGGCCCCCCGCCCAACAACCAACAAACAAAAAAAACAGAAAAAAACATTGCATGACCAACCCAACCACCCACTAACCAATAGCCTGCGGAAAACCTGTGAAACTGCGAATCCATGCCGCTGAAGGTTAAAACGCGCTAATACCGCATCTACCTCACAAAGCTCGTCGGTAGCCTTCCGAAGGACATGTCTGCTTAATTTATTCTCGAAATCGTAAAAAAAGGCAGAATAGCGTAAAAAAAGCAGCAGCAGTAATCCAAAAGTACGAAGCACTGGCGGGCAAACAAACAAAACAAAAGGAAACCAAAAAAGCCAACAAATCATGCAAACAAGCACGAACGCACACAAATGATGTGCACGTGCAAATATAAAGCAGCACACACAAAACCCAGAAACCAAACTTTCAGCCTGTCCGCGCTGCACATACAATACAGCTGCATGCAGCACGTGAAAGGAGATGCCACAACAAACAACAGCACTGCGATTGTGCTGACTCCAATCTTTTCACGACCGTCAAAAACATATTTCCAAAAGAAACGTCCCACATGCGGTTGGCACCACAACACACTACACCACCGCGCAACGCTACGCAACGATCGCGTTTGACTGATATTCCACCTCCCACCCCCTCATCCACCTCCGGACTGCAGGAACCGGGAAAGACGGGAGGAGTTTTAATCCTCCCCTCCCTGAGCCGTCGCTTTCCTCAACCCTCCCTCCCTCTGTGTATGTGTGTGTATGTTTGTCGGAAATCTCCAGTTCCATTATTCTTCAACAAAGCCTCTCCTAGGCTCCACAGGGCTGCGCCTCACAACCCCGCCCCTTCCTCCAGAACGGACACGCAGACACGCCCCCACACACGCACACACACACAAAGACACACACGCGGGGCCCGTCATCACTCTTCGGCCCTCTACAACTTCGGCCCCTCCCCCCGGCTCTAGCTTTGCATCACTACACGTATGTCCCAATTACCACGACACCCGACACCCAGCACACCACGAAATCCTAGACCTCTGAAGCGCACGTACACGCCGTTCACTGCCCAGCCTCCTGCCCCCTGTTCCTGCCCCCTGTTCCTAGCAACAAGCCACCTGCAGACCTTCGAAAACACAAGGAGGGAGCAGCAGCGCCCAAGACGTGCTGGAAAAGGACCCCCGGGGGCTGCCGTCTGCGGGAAGGCAGCGCACGGAAGGCTCCACAGAGACCATTAACCAGCCAGTATGTGAGCATTTGAAAAAACCAATCTTTTAGCATATCTCTATCATCATATCTCTCCCAGAGATTGCATTTACAAGGCAGCGCTGGAAAGGGCTACGCCGACCAAAGGCCGTCATGGCGGAAGTAGAGTTGAAAGCATCCGCTGTGTGTGAATGTGTGTGTGGAAATGTGACCGTTGACATACGTTTTCCGTTATGCATCTTTTTTATATTAGCACACCTTCACCTTCACCTTCGCAAGGGCTCCGTCTCGAACCTATTTACACGCCCTCCACAGCTATACCATAAAGGCCCTGTACCGCCCGTGGTGTGCTGCCGTACTGCCGTACGGCGGATTTAACGTACGTGTCGTGCCCCTGCAGGCCGTGGGCCACATAGCCGCCCCGTCGGGGTCTGGGTTGCGTGTGTTTGGGGGGGGGCCGCCCGGGGGGGTGGAGGGGGAGACATCTCATGTCCTCCCAACACTTGGCGTCCCGCCCATCACCTCCGACATCTAGGACTGCTGCTGCTGTACCGGTGGCGGCGCCTCTCTCAGCACCGTGAAGATGCTCCGAAACTGTTGAGGCGTCATCCGTACGTGCTTTAGCTCCCCTCCCGTAATCTGCGATGCAAGGGAAGCATACATACATACATACATACATACATACATACATACGGACTAACCCTGATTTTCTTGCCCCCGGTCTTGTGCCCGGTGGTACGGCTCTCTCCATTCCGCCACACATACATCCCCGCTCCGAACCCATTACAATACAGTCTATCCATCCCCCCCAAACCCCTGACCCTCCCACCCCCGCTGTCAGCCTCCCCGCCCTCCCCATCCCCAGCAACCCCGCCACCAAAACCACACACGCAAACGCGCACTCGCCATGCGCCTCCAGGACACACACGTACACGCGCGCTCCGAACCTTCCTAGCAGCCCAGCGCACCCCAAGACTGAACACCCACCATCACTCACCAGTCCTCCTGGGTTTACACGTCCCACATCCATTTCCCCCGACCGACAAAACCACCGCCACTGCCACCGCCACCACTTCACCCGTCCACGGCCCTCCTTCCGGCGTCAGTCCACCCGTCCCTGAACGCATAAAGCACCCACCATCACCATCAGCGCCGGCACCACCCGCCTTCATTTCCCCAGCTTCATCATTACTTCAGGATTACCTGCGTGTACAGCGGCTGCATGAGCTTCTCCCAGCCGCCCTCCCCGAACAGCTGCCCAACCAACTGGTCGTTACTCAGATCAATCTGCTTCAGATCCTCCGAAACCAAGTAGTACACCAAGCCGTCCTGGCCCAGCAGCAGCAGGGAACCTGAACCCGGGGCGCAAACACACACATACATACATATATACGCGCATGACTCCTCCTCGCAGCATAGACCATTAAGGAAACACACACATCGGGGGGGGAGATGTGCGTGACAATGCGTGTATTTGCGCTTTTTGATATTTGGGTCGCGGACCGAAACTAACAGAAAGGTGGTACAAGGGAAGATCTGTGTGTGTTTGTGTGATATTGACAGGAGAACACGTGTAACGCCAGAGCAGACAAAAGAGTAATGCGGGAGATACCGAGTAAAAGGGAAAGGGATCCAATTCCTTCTTACAATACAACTGAAATATACTGCTCCGAAACCTGGTTCTTCCCTCAAGAGGCCTATCCTGAGCAAGCAGCTCCGGATGGGGTACGGCAATGTACGACGTGGCAGAACCCGCGTCACGGCTGGGTACGTGGTATGGCATGAAAGGATCCTGTTAGGAATCTGGTGCAGACACGCGGCCACGTACCTTCAACGTAGCCGTCGAGCTTGGCCTCGAGCCACGTGTCGCTATCCTTCCCATGGAGCAGAACACGTCCGTCAACTCGGCGGCGGAAGTTCTTGGCTGCACGGTAACGATCTATTGCAGCCGCATCCTCCTGCTCTTCTCCAGTTCCGGAGCTGAAGGGACGAATGGCGGCTCGGAATGACCCCTGGGTCAGTTGGTAATCCGACAAAATATTTTGTTATGGGCTTCAGGCAGGATGTATATCAATAGATCAAATGGGATCTTTCTTACGCGGTGTGCAAAGTAATTCCGAAAGGTAAGGAAACCTTCCGATGACGCACTTACGCCGGGTGTTTGGCAGACAGTGATTGCGTTCAGGACTTTGAGGTGAAAACCAGCATCTGCTGCGTGAAATCGTAGGCCTGCGGCCCGGAATGCACGTGTTCGTCAGCCTGCACTGCAGATGTAGCCAAAGTCGAACCTGACTTGGCTGACCTGAAAAGCATGCTGCACGTGCAAGAAACGACATGTGAGCTATTATAGTTGAAGCTTGGACTTCTAAGACAGCCTTCAGGTGCAAAGCACAACTACAAGGGCCGCCAGGCCGACCCAACTTTTCAAATTTTTACTGTACAATTAGGAAAACTTAACTTATCTTCCTGTGTATATATGCTGCGATCTGAGTTGCGCACCTGTATCTGGCCATAATCTGGGAGTGGCTGACTTGTCCACGAAGTCACGGCATTATGTAACAAAGCAAAGGCGTAACCCGGGATGCTCAGTTGGGCCTTGCGTCGTTACATTGCCCCCCCTTTAGCAATGGACGTCCGCGGCCATTATATCGAGCATTGGAGCCATCCCACCTCACGCATTGTGCGCTGGTTTATCCATTACCCATGATATCGCTTTCTGCGATACCTGCTTGTTGTCAGAATCGAACCACCGACCCGAAGATTTCATCGGAAGTCGTGCGGCTCCGTCTCGATACCATTGTAACAAAGCAAAGGCGTAACCCGGGATGCTCAGTTGGGCCTTGCGTCGTTACACATTATCTTGGATGACCACGTTGCTGATTGGGATATAAACCCAACACCCGTTTAATTAATGTTTATCCTCCCGTGGGGCAATAAGTTTAGATGTCTTGTTTTTTATAGGCTAACGTTGGAGCCCTAGTTGCGTGCAAAAGCGCGTCCTTATCCGTCAGCCCTGCGAGCTATTGGAGATCTTGGTTGTTCTCACCATGGCTGTGAGGTTTTTAATTGCTGCCTTGCTGGTCGCAGCTAGCGGTGGGGTTGGTGCCGCGCCTGAGCTCCAACTCCGGGAGCAGCATGAGAAACTGCTCCTGGACGCCAAGGCGAACCCCATGGCAGCCTTTCAGCAGTGGATGATGCAATATACGAAAGCCTACGCTAACGACATAAAGGAGCTCGAGACCCGTTTTTCCGTGTGGCTGGAGAACCTTAACTACATTCTCGCCTACAACGCACGAACCACTTCCCACTGGCTCCATCTTAATGCCTTTGCCGACTTGACAACCGATGAATTCCGCAATCGCCTGGGCTACGACTTCAAGGCTCGTCAGGCGAGCAACCGCCTTCAGTCCTCGCCTTTCATCTACGACAATGTCGACGCGAATCAGTTACCAACGGAAATCGACTGGCGCAAGAAGGGAGCGGTGACTGAGGTGAAGAACCAGGGGCAGTGCGGTTCTTGCTGGGCTTTTGCGACAACGGGCAGTGTCGAGGGCATCAACGCCATTGTGACCGGCGAGCTCGCGTCGCTGAGCGAGCAAGAGCTTGTTGACTGCGATACGGATGAGGACAGGGGCTGCAGCGGTGGCCTGATGGACTATGCATACCAGTGGATTATCAAGAACGGAGGCCTTGATACAGAGGATGACTACCCATACACGGCCGAGGACGGAGTCTGCGTCGCTGCCAAGAAGAACCGCCGTGTCGTCACTATCGATGGCTATGTCGACATCCCTGAGAACGATGAGGTCGCTCTGAAGAAGGCCGCGGCTCACCAACCCATCGCTGTTGCCATCGAGGCCGACGCCAAGTCGTTCCAGCTATACGGAGGTGGTGTTTACGACGACCCAACCTGCGGCACATCCCTCAACCACGGTGTACTGGTTGTTGGTTATGGCAAGGACCCCCACTTCGGCAACTACTGGATTGTCAAGAACAGCTGGGGTCCCGAGTGGGGAGACAACGGCTATATTCGTCTCCGGATGGGCGCGGAGGATGTCCAGGGCATGTGTGGCATCGCCATGGCGCCTTCCTTCCCCACTAAGAAGGGTCCTAACCCGCCCACGCCTGGCCCTACCCCGGGCCCGGGCCCCAAGCCATCGCCTTCGCCCAAGCCCCCATCCCCCCAGCCTGTCAAGTGCGACGATGACAATGAGTGCCCGGCTGGCAGCACGTGTTGCTGCGTTATGGAGTTCTTCAACATGTGCTTCCAGGTGCGCCTTGAACCGGGCCCTATCCCGCCTGAGGAATTGTCCCCTGGCATTTTTGTTAATACCCAAATGCAGGGGTCATATAGGTATTGCTTGCCTTGCCGATGTACATGACAAACTTTGCATGCATTCTGTTGAACCAATTGCAAAGATTGTGAAAAGGATTACATGCTGGATTGATATGCGCTCCTTTTATAAAAGGCAGTAGACATCAACGTTTCTTTTGTCGTATATTTCTACCGCAGCAATTACGCACTCTTGAGCATTTGTTTGAACTCATCGTGACCTATTATGCAGACAGGCCTTCCATTTCGACGGTTTCTTCTGACCATGGACTTCTGGTTGACTCAACCTTTGTTCCTAGCGTCTTTGGGTTTCTCACACATTCCCCCTCCTGCTCCCCCACTTATCGCTTGTGCAGTGGGGGTGCTGCCCGATGCCCAAGGCCACCTGCTGCAGCGACAACCAGCACTGCTGCCCCGCCGACCTGCCTGTGTGCGACACCGTCGGGGGTCGTTGCCTGCCCAAGGCTGGTGTCATGTTCGGCTCTCAGCCTTGGTCGCGCAAGACGCCCGCCATGCGCAGTCCAGGTGGCTTCGTGGACCGCATTTTTGGCCGCGGCTTTGTGCGCAAGAACCAGGAGCCCAAGGAGATGAAGCCGCAGTAATGAGGAACCCGTTAGGTCTTCTTCGCTCCCGCGCTGCCTCGATCTGGGTCGGCAGAATTTGTCTGGAGGTTTTGGGGATTTATGAAACGTGTGCGTCAGGCTGTGGGGGTCCTCGGCGTGCGTTCTTGTATCTCGCAGCTGTTTGCTTTGCTGTCATGTCGGTAAGAGTGGGATGTGACGTGCGGCGACATGCTGTTGCGACGATACCCAGGTCGGGTGGTCAGGGAAGCACATTGGAAGGATCCGCCCGTGTTGCCCTGTCGACGCCGAAGGCAGGCAGCCACACATGCACGCTTCAGTAGACAGAGTGGTAGATCTCTTATACTGTGCAGGCCTCGTTATTATCATTTAGTGTATGCACAAAATGTTGCGCTATAGAAGGCGGTCCGGGGGCAGAAGCAGGCCACCACAAAATATACACGTGGTTTTGGGGTTTTTAAGGCATGGTGATGAACCCCTTTCAGGGACGTTAGTGACGGACCTTTCCAAATGGCAACAAGCAGGTTCAAGCTAGCTGAGATCTGGTTAGGAATTTCTCTACGATGTCAGTCGTCATGCTTGGGTTTAGTTTCTACCCTTGACATGGAGGGCGGAAATCTTGTTCTGTATAATGGAGACCTTTCAACGTCAATAATATGTGTTGCGTCGCATTTTGTCTTTTGCCGGTTTGTACTGTCGTGCATTGGGCGTGAACGGCGCATGTTGACCTAATGCGACATGTGATTTGCATTGGTTGCGCCGTAACTGAACGATGCTCTTCATGTATACATACAAAAGTGTAGAGGTCCTTGTTTTGTTGTGGCAAAATTTTTGCTTTGCCGTGATGCCGGCTCGTAACGATATATCACACGGCAAACAACCAATCATTATTGTACATTAGCAGCAAGCAGCCCTTTGTCCAATCACGTTTGGACACGGGCCGACATGTTCTCTTTCGCGGACGGATTTGTGGGCATCTGGGAGTGTACCTGTGGCACGGCGGGGGCTGATGCATTATCAATGTTCGATGTTGTACTGTAGCATCTCCGGGATTTCTCGCGAGGACCGTACCTGTAAAAAACCCCATGGATATTGCGGTCCATCACAGCATCGTACGCATGTCATGTGGTATACAACGGAAAGGGATGCATGCGCCGAGTCACCATGCTTATTGTTGTCCAGCATCCCAGGCCAGAAATTCCACAACGATCTGAACGTCTCGCACAACGCGTTCTGTACCCTAGTCTACCGAATGACAGGTACAGAATGGTACTCGAAACACTGACGAGCCACGGACTGGACGGCACACATGCCATTGCTCGAAGATGAAAGCCCACCGGGACACCCGGCTGAAACATGAAGCCTCCCTGGAGCGAACGAACCACCTTCTTCATTAAAAATGGTTCATTCTCCGTGCGACGTATTAAGAAGGTATGCCATGTAGCGATTCAGCATAGACATGAAATTTACGCCCTGTGTCTAGTAAAGGGTAGTCAACTTGGAATGCGCGTAACCGAGCTCACTGCAACCGTCTCTAGTGGTGTACGGCACGACACGGCGTCGCGACGTCTGTTGGCCAGCAAAGAGTTAACCTTTTCCTGTCTCCGCTGTAGCATAGCGAAAGCCCGCTGAAATGGGGCAGGCCTCCGCATAGGCGGAAAACTACCACGTTGCCTGCCCCGCCGCAACTACGCTTGTGTTGTTTTGCATCACCTCTCTTGGCCATCGTCAGGAACGCTACTAAGCAACTGACAAGCTTTTTACGGTAATCGAAATGTACACAGAACCGCTTGGCGCTACCCGGCAATCCTTGCGTGCGCTGATTAAACATACGACTTTGGAGTATCGCAGCTGGCGTATGGCATTAGTCTATAGGCCGGGTGCATACAGTCCCAGGCAACGCCATGATTTGACATCCAGGATCAGCTGCGCGCGCGCATCGGCTTCTTCTCCCGCCAACGGTTCTCCCTTTCCGGACCACGATGCCGCGCCTGGTGCTGTGCTCCTCGATGAGCCACTTTCCCCAATGGATGTTGACCAGGAGCTTTGGGCGGTCCTGGATATGTGCACCGATGACGAGTTAGAAGCGTTGTACAACATCCTGCACTCGACTTCTCCTTTTAGCCCCATAATCAAAAGCTTGCTGGTACGTGTGATTGAAATTCCAGAATTGGGTCTCGCAAACCGAGGACAACCGCTTTCTAAGACTTCGGAACCAGGGTTCTTCGCCTTTCATGCACAGAGCCGGACCTTCCGCAAGGGTACATCCGGCCGCACCATTTACAGTACTTCTTCACGCCATGCCCATGAACGCGTGATGACCCTTGGGCGGCACCGCCCGTGGAAGCACCTCCCTCATCTTCATGGTTGACCCACGGCCTGCGCCTATTGGCACACCTGACGAGAGCCGCGTTCCTAGTTGGCGCTTACTTGTCGCCAGCCTTGACTTTGGCTGGCTTGAGCTTTGGAAACCATGTAGGAAAAAATGGGGGTTGGTGGGACGCCTGGCAGGAAAAGGCCGCAAGTCAGGCAGGAGGACAGGGTTAATAGAGGGCCAACCCGAAGTTGGACCACCACAGCTGTGAGAGAGAGAGAGTCAGAGAGAAGCGGAAAGGGGCGGTATGGCTACCATTCAAAAACACCTTGAAACGACTTTTATCATCATGTTTATTTTTCCGTGGGGTCCTGTTCTGGGTTCAGTCTTTGCTACCCTTAGCTAAATCCCGTCAACCGAATGTAACACTTCTCCACTCCACACCAATATAGCTGCCAATGTACTTGCCAACAGACCTTAAGGGGGTGTTCACGTTCTCGCTGTGCTTGTGGCAGCCGGGTTTTATCAAGATCCGCTCGCGCACGTGTTTTCCTCTCGCTGCACCCCCGCATTACCCCAGTCCAACAACCCTCCACAGCTACACGCCGCCACGTCACGACCACCCATCGATCACTGCCATTGATCCGCGGGGCTACCCATCCACGCAATTTCTTCTGCAGGTTGAGCGCGATGAGCCGGCTCTGGTATCCCTCCGCGGCCGTCGCAGTGTGATGCACAAGGTGGAGGCGCACTTCCGTTTCCTGGCGGCGGACTCGGTGCACCTGCTGCGGGGAGCTCGGCCCAGCTACCGGGAGGTGCTCCTCAACGTGAGGGACAAGTAAGTGTACGGGCGGCGGGGAGGGGCAGGGGTTGGAGAAGGAAGGGGGACGGCAGCCGGGGGGAGGCGTGGTGTGGAGGAGGGAGGGAAAGGAGGAATGTGGAGAGACTTGATCCGGGGGGAACGGGAGGGGGAGAGTGAGTGTGGGGTTTTGGAGGGGCGGCATGCATGCATGCATACATGCATACATACATACATACATACATACATACATACATAATACATACATACATACATACATACATACATACATACATACATACATACATACATACATACATACATGGCAGGCGGCTGGCAGAGGTTAAGGCCTGACTTCTGCTCCCAGTCGACCCAGTCGACCCGGGTTCAAATCCGCCTGCCGGCTCCTCGGGTGTTTGAGGAGTGATGAAATGGGAGGTGGCCCCCCATCATATGGACGGTGTAGGACGTGATAATATCAACTTGCGAGCTGACCAGGAACTAAGTTGATGCGCCGTTGATCCGCTAGATTTGGTTGGATGCTGGTGGTGAGTTGCCGAACCCAACGAATACATTCTGAAGTCGGATGGGGTGACGGATTAGGGTGCCCCTCTAGCAGGGGAGAGCAGGGACTGCCCCGGGAAAGGGGGCCGCTGGCGAAGTTAACCACCCTGTAACAACATACATACATACATACCCACAATATAAATGTACATATCTGCTCGGCTTATATATGCACACGCACACGGGGCCCAACCCCGCATCACTTCCAGGAAATCTCCCACTCATCCTTGGAAAGCACTCCTCCCTTCCGCCAGTTGGCCCTTCATTTCCTTGCTCATCATTCCCTCCCACCCCGCCCTCGTCCCCCCTGACACCCAGGCTCGACATCCGTTGCTCGCGTAACCTGTCCACCTTCGATCTGGAGACGGAGATTTTCCTCCACGTGCTCAACAACTGTGCGGACTACGTCCGCTCCCCCGAACACTCCTCAGCCGCGGCGGCGGCCGGAGTGGACCCCTCCCTGGCGGCGTCGTTCGCAACACTCAACAACGTCGACGTCGCACCAGCGGCGGCGGCGGCGGCATCAGCCGCCGGAGGCGGCGGCGCCGCCAGGAGCGGCCCCGCTGGGTCGACGACATCAGGGGCGGCGGCGGCGGCGGCGGCAGCATCTAATCCGAACTGGACGGAGCGCCTGACGGCGCCCTTCCGTCTGGGACTTAAGGACTTGGCTCCCACGCTGCTCAACCTGGCCGGGGTGGTGACGGTCACCAAGGTGGGTGGGGCCTGCTGCTGCTGCTGCTGCTGTCCGGGGACATCTCCACCCACCAACACACACGTACACACACATACATACATACACACATACATACATACATACATACACATATACTCTCAGCTTTGCATCAGTGCCTACAATACTTTGGACGTCGACAGGTTTATATATATATATATATATATATATAGATATATTTACATTTGCATATTATCCTCCCCTCTTCACATATGCCCCCCTTATCCTCCTCTCCCCTTCCTCAACCTCAACCACACTTACCTTCCCGCCCATCCCGCATCCACTTCGTCACCTCGCCCCACCGCAATAAGCAGGTGGGTCAACAAGCCACTCAGCAGCTAGCCGCCAACCTGCTGTGCTCACACGTCAAGTACCAGGCGGCGCTGAGGGCGGCGACAGCGGGGGTGGGCGGGCTGGCGGCCAAGGGCGCCATGGCGGGATGGGGCAAGCAGGCCATGCTGGAGGTAGGTGGGATGTTCGACGGCGTAATGCGCGCGTGCTATGTAGGTGTATGCGTCTGTGTGGTTTTTGGGGTATGTATATATGTACGTATGTATGTACGTATGAATGTCGTCCTATGAAGGGAGATGTGCGATGACTTCACAAAGTTTTAGCAAAACGGATTGTGTGAGCCGGATTGTGAGGCGATGTGTGTGTCTTTTTTTTCCCCTGGTCCACGCACCCATTTCACCTTCCCTTTGATCTCTCCGTCCTGCCAATCTCTCCTGCCGTAAACACACACACACATACACACAAACAAGGCCGTCTCTTTCCCCCCCCCGCCCCTCCTTGTGGTTCGTCTTTCCCTCCTTGTATTCCCCTTTCCCCCCCAACCCAGGCTGCGCAGCGCAGCCTCACCGCCGCCACCGCCCGCTACTCGGCCCTCCGCGGCGCTCTGTCCTTCCTGGGTCCGCTGCTGTGGGGCTGGCTGGCAGTGGACCTGGCGCTGAAGGCGGTGGGGACGGACTACGCTCGGGTGGTGCGGGCGGTGTTCCTGCTGTCGCAGGTAAGCGGGAGGGGGGCCAACTGTGTGAATGTGAGTGTCTCTCTGTGTGTGTGTGTATGTGTGTATGTGTGTGTGTGTGTGCGTGTGTGTGTGCGTGTGTGTGTGCGTGTGTGTGTGTGTGTGCGTATGTGTGTGCGTGTGTGCGTATGTGTGTGTGCGTATGTATGTGTGTGGGTGATGTGTAGCAGAGATGTATAATAGTGGCATTGCGAGGTGCTATGCTACAGCCCTGGCGTCATCAGTTACGGTCCGGAGTACACTAGGGTTTTGAAGGGCGGTTCTTCGCTATCCCCCCGCGGTCCTGGTTCGTGATACTCGCTGGGATTTCCCCCGGAGCGCTCCTCCCCAGCGCCCATGCACGCACCCCGCCCATACACGCACACAGATCCACGCATGCACGCGAGTTTATTTATGTAATTACACACACGCACGTACACATGCATGCGCACGTACGCACATTACCCCGCCGCTGCTGCCGGGGTGCCGCAGGTGCGTCTAGTCCGCACTCACGGTTTCGTGTCGTCTGAGATGGAGCGGCTGAGGGATCACTCGTTTGGCTCTGGGGGCCGCGAAGATGAGGATGACGACTACCAGGATCCGGGAGCTGCCGCCTTCTTTTTCTGAATAGCACTAGCCGCAGCAGGGAGGGGAGAAGGCGGGAAGGAGGGGGGGAGAGGCGGGAAGGAAGCGGTTGCCTCGTTCTGGGTAGCAGCAGGAAAGGAATGGAAGAGAGATAAGAGCTGCCGTGGGTGAATTGATATGGGCTTTGGGGAACGGATTAATGGGGGCTGTTTTTGTCTGTGTGTCTGTCTGTATGTATGTGTGTGTGTTCTGCTTCTGCTTGTGTCGTGTTTGCGGTGTTTGCCGCCCCGCGTCACACAGCCAGTCACCGAGGTGAGGAAGAGCCTCAACAATGCGCACGGTCACCACCACCACCACCACCACCCACTCCACATTCCTGGAGCATAAGGCCCCCCTCACCCACCCACTCACTCACCTGCCCGTAAGACCCATCTGGCGCTGCCTCCATCCACCTACCCACTCTACACACACCACCGGATCTCAGGTACCCCCCCCCGGGAAATACCTCTGGCATCAGCATCGCTCGTCCGTGTTTCGTCTTCCCCGAGGGAATGGGACGTGAGGTGCGGTGCAGGAAAGTACGGAATTCTGTGTGTGCAAGTAAGATGGTAGTATCCTTTCTTAAAGAAACCTGTCAACTTTGTCTGTTATGAAGATTTGTTTTTCTCGTTCTCGAATACAAACTGAGACGAAATGCTTCATATAACCATGATTTTTTGTGGGCTTGAGCGGAATTGGCGCATGGGATGGAATGATGGAGGGGTTTTAGGGGTTGACCTAGGCACAGACGTGTGTATGCATGTATTGTGTGTATGTATGTTTGCACGTATGTATGTATGTGTCCTCAGCCGTCACTGTGGGACCGATCCCGACTTCGTATCCTGATATGTGGTTTCGGTGTGACAGCTTACCGCACGACATGGCCTTTGCGGAAGCTTTCTTTGCTGTATGTTGAGCGAGTGGATGGCGGTGGGGGGAGAACCAGCTCTCGATGGTGGGTGGATGGTGGCTCCCAACCCCGATTTCGATTTTGGTGGCTCGTTGTTGTTATCAACAGGATTAGGCAATGCGTTTCCGTGGCACCCGGATAGGGGTCGTTAGACAGGTGGTTGTGGCTTTTTGTGAGACCATTTTCGGGACCCCAAGGAAACCCTGTTTTTTGGGTTTCCGGTGTTTTTTAGTTTAGGACGAGGCACATAGAAACTGGAAGAACCTTTGCGGGCTGGCGGAACCTGCATCTTTTAAGCTTGTGAAAAGCGGCGATTGAAACATTGACGAAGAACACATACACCAGCGAGAACTTGTTTTTTTAATAGGCTGTTTAAATCTTGTTTTTTTGAAGTTAATGCCTAAGTAACATCGAACCAACGAATTTCCACGTGGATGTATAAACGTCTTTTCCGGGGTTGCGATGTGGTGGAACTGCGCTACTACCAACAACGCCTTGAGACAGGGAGGGCACATCATACACCGGACATAGCTCGTCCGAGCGTACGGCTGATGCCTGCCTCTGGCGTCCCTTCTACTGTTGCCTGCCGTACAGCACCGTCTTCGGCATCCCCTCTGTAACACTACACATATCCAAGTGCTTATTATATATCTGTATCTGCCACTATCTGCTTTGCTACCTGTGTAACAAGGTCCTCAATCAGTGCCCACGAAATAATGACAATTGACAGTCCATGCCCCCCCCCACACACACCCCTGACCCCGGGGCTTTAATTTAGACTTTTAGGACGCGGAACATTCTGGGGGACCTGGGAACTTGTAACTTTGCAACCTAAGAACATTCTGGGGGACCTGGGAACTTGTAACTTTGCAACCTAAGGACATTCTGGGGGACCTGGGAACTTGTAACTTTGCAACCTAAGGACATTCTGGGGGACCTGGGAACTTGTAACTTTGCAACCTAAGGACATTCTGGGGGACCTGGGAACTTGTAACTTTGCAACCTAAGGACATTCTGGGGGACCTGGGAACTTGTAACTTTGCAACCTAAGGACATTCTGGGGGACCTGGGAACTTGTAACTTTGCAACCTAAGAACATTCTGGGGGACCTGGGAACTTGTAACTTTGCAACCTAAGAACATTCTGGGGGACCTGGGAACTTGTAACTTTGCAACCTAAGAACATTCTGGGGGACCTGGGAACTTGTAACTTTGCAACCTAAGAACATTCTGGGGGACCTGGGAACTTGTAACTTTGCAACCTAAGGACATTCTGGGGGACCTGGGAACTTGTAACTTTGCAACCTAAGGACATTCTGGGGGACCTGGGAACTTGTAACTTTGCAACCTAAGGACATTCTGGGGGACCTGGGAACTTGTAACTTTGCAACCTAAGAACATTCTGGGGGACCTGGGAACTTGTAACTTTGCAACCTAAGAACATTCTGGGGGACCTGGGAACTTGTAACTTTGCAACCTAAGAACATTCTGCGGTGGTTGAATACACGAACGAGAACACACGCGTCGTGCCTCTTAAAGATCCCCCGACGGAAGAAGTGGAGGGCAACTTCCTTTCTCTTGTCGAAAGGACCACCATTACAATTTTCGAACAACGACAAGAAAAAACAAGTCGTACAGTCCCTCACATTCGTCACATCTCGTGTATCATCATCATCATCATCATCATCATCATCACTCCGATCATGATGCCGGAAGAAGATATGTTCTGAAACGGGAATCTAGAAGACGCCGCCCGCTACGTCATTTTTTCAAACGCAAGAAACTCAGCATTGCATACCAGCAGCAGCAGCAGCTCCCACCGCTTCAACCACGTACACAGCCGGACACACAACATTTCACTCTCGGGACCCAAAGATAGAGATCGCTTGTCAAGATAACTTAAGACGCACATCAATAAACTCATGGCCGCAGGACTACCCCCGCTCTCCCCCCTCCCTCCCTACACTGCATCCTGGCCGAATCAAGTCATATCAATTACTGTGATACTGGCACTGCTACTGCCACTCCTGCTGTCTGTCCTATCCGTACTTGTGGTGGCGGTAGTCGTAGCGGTGGCGGCGGCGGCGGCGGCGGCGGTACTGGAGGTGACTATGGCGCCATGGCCGGTGGTGGCGGTGGTGGTGATGGTAGTAGTGGCGGTGGTGATGGTGGCGGTGGTGGTGCTGGTAGCGGTGGTCGTCACCGCCAGGGCAGTGCCGACTGACGTACACATCGCCGGTGTGACTCCCTCCGCGATCCCTGCTGGCTGCCGGGCCCCACCATCGTTGGCAGTAGCAGCAGTAGCACCCACAACAGCTGCAACGGCTTGGCTGCTATCTGCACCCCCTTCGTGGGTCGGTGGTGCTGGTCGTCTTGGGAGTCCTGGAGCGATCGCCCACATGGCGCGTTCCCGGCCGCCTGCTCCGGCGGCTGCTTCCCCAGCGCCATCCCCTGCCGCCGCCGCCGCCACCGCCGCCACCGCCATTTCTTCCCCAGGCTCCTCCGCAGCGGTCCCCCCTTCTTCAGGGTTGGTCGAACTCTCCTGATCCGCACTTGATGCCCTTTCCACTGCTACTGCTGTTGCTGTTGGCGCTGCTACTGCTGCTGTTGCTGTTGTGTAGTGGGTTTGCTTCGCTGCCGCTTCCGACTCTCCGTACGTGACCGACTGGCCAGGAAAGTGAAGGGAGGGGGGAGAAGGGAGAGGAAGGGGATACAAGAAAAGAAGTTAAGGAGTTCAGGAGGAGAGATAGCTAGATGAGTGGCGCGTTTGGGTTGGCTGTGGTGATGTGTTGTTGGTGTTGGTGTTGGTGTTTGGTGGTATATCGGTCATGGGGATATTCGCTGCTGCACATCAGCAGCACATCTACATCAAACTCCCACGCACACACAGAACACATCAATAGATTCAAGCAGTTATGCTGCGTTCAAAACTTCAAAACCCTGCGTTCAAAAAATTCAAAACCCTGCGTTCAAAAATTCAAAACCCTGCGTTCAAATTCAAATGCAAACCTCACCTCCACTCGACCCAGCGCAACAATCACCGGCGTCATCACCGCCGCGCTGCTGCCTCCCCCCACTCCCCCCGCCAGGCCGCCACCACCACCGCCGCCGCCGCCGCCGCACCCGTGCTCAGCCGCCGAACACCTCACCGCCCCCAGTACGACAAAGCGACCCAGTACGGGATACTCCCGAAACGGCTCTACCACGAGACGGGGGTGCAGCGGCTCAAACACGGCTTCCGCCACGTCGCCAGCCTGGAGACCGACTTGCTCGTCCAATCTCTCCCCCAACATCTCGCCAGTGCCTTTTTTACGAGGTTGCAGGGTGGGAGAGGGGGAGGGGGAGGGGGAGGGGGTGGGAGAGGGGGAGGGGGTGGGAGAGGGGGAGGGGGAGGGGGAGGGGGCCCGGGCGGTAAAGGGATGGCGAGGTGGGAATATATACGCGAAATGCAGAAACTCAGTAAAAGAAAAAGGCAGAATGCGGAAGTCCCCAGGCTCCCAGGTCCCCCATGTCATCAGGAGCCCCTGTTACCCCCCCCGGCTGTGTTGCCCCCTTGACACGGCGGGGTTTTATGTATTCGCGGGGCCACATTCGGTGTATAGACCACCGTGAAGGTCACGGAAAGTCCCCGGAAAATGCGAGTGGGCTAGAACATAATATGATAACTTCCCCTTCCACCCAACCCAAATCACGTGCACACACATACATACGCACATGCACACGCACAAGCACTTACACATACATACATACACACATTCGCTCACGCAATGCCCCCCGCAACCTCCCTCACAGCCATCGCCATCCGGAGACAAGGACGCTCTGTTACTGCCGTCGTACCCCCCCCGGTGTCCCCTCGGAAAGGGTTGTCTTCCCCCCCCCTTTGAAGGGGAACAAACCCTTTTGAAATTCCTCTTCAGGATTCCGCCTAAGGCTGGATTGTTGCTCCGAATCCGGGCCCAAACCCGGTTCCTCGTCTCCCCCCCCCCCACACACAAAAAAACACCTCCGCCGTACCCTTTGTGTCGCATCTTCTGCTGCTGACCAAGCGGCAAGGTGCATGGGCTGTGTGCACGTGAACTAGGGCCACATACCCGGGACGAAGGCAGCCGGGGCGGCTCTCCCGCCGCGAGCTAGGGTCGCGCAGGACCTTGGGGACGTCACACGAAAATGACCATTTTGTGTTTTTTTCGGAAAGACAGGGTGAGGGAAGGGGAGTGGAGGGGAAATCATACATACATACATACAAATAGAAGGGTACTGCAGGAATAGACAGATACTGCATCAGGAAAATGTAAAATGTTAGATGCCTGCGGGGATGACATGCAGTGCGCGCAACTAAGAGAAAAAACAACTGCTATGGCGACAGGACGCCCAAGCGACTAGCTGCCGTACAAGTCCAAAGCAAAGACCGCGCAATGGGGCCCGGGCCGTCGCTCTGAAGCCCTTGCGGAGTCGATGGCGGGTTTGGGGTTTGGAGGTTTGAGGTCTTAGTCGTACATTGGCTGCTTAAAAGAACCTTTTGACCTTCATCCCCCTCCTCCTTTTAAACGATTTTCCCTAAAACCCTAAAACCCAATTAGCCCCGTTACCCCTCTTTTTCCCCCTCCCCCGCGTTTCCCCCAGGGGCCCCTCCCCCGCCGAACCACCCTCATCATCAACACCGCCATTACCCACTCTCTTAGTCCCCCCTGGAATACACACACGACACGCATACACATACTCACACACACATACACACACGCACACACTCCCCGCCACCCGGCCTCCTTCCGGTGATTTCTCACTTACTCGAATCCTAGCTGTGAACCGAACCGCAAACCTCGCGGGCTGGTCCCCGGCGTCCGACACCACATCCCCCCGCCGCACCCGCCACGCCGGCACCCCCTTCACCGCCAAACCCACCCACTCCCCCGCGGCGGCGGAGCCGCGACTGTCGTGAAAGCTCTCCAGGGAGCGTACGACAGACGTCAGTGCTGAGGTTGCTGAGCCCGGCCGTGCGGCTTCGTCGCCGAAGCCGTTTTTCCTAGCTGCAGTAGCTGCAGTAGCTGCAGTAGCTGCAGTAGCTGCAGTATCTGCTCGTACGACTGACGTGGAAGCTGGAGGTGTTTGTGGTGGGGGGGAAAGGGGGGAAGGGGGGAGGAGCTGGGCCGTGGTTCCCACACGAACACACCCACACGCCACTCGGCCTGCTGGTACAGTGCCGATACCGCCCACCTTGTAGACCCCCTGTTTAGGGTTTTAGGGTTTTAGGTTTTTAGGTTTTTAGGGTTTTAGGGTTTGGGGTTGGTTAAGGTGGTTAGCGGGGGGTTGTTGTTAGGGTTGGAGTCGTACGAGTGCAAGAAGCTAACGCTTTTAGGGTGTTACGGTGGGATTGAGGTGAGCAATGGATTATTTCCAAAAGCGAGCACGTGTTGGTTTGCGGCGTCAACGGCCCCACACCCCCTTGCGTTGCGGTGGGTGGCGTTGGGTTGCCCTTTCCCCCAGCATATTGCAGACCCCCGTCTGACGGCGGCGGCGGCGGCGGCGGCTTGCCCTTTCCCCCCCCCCAAAACACACACACACGCTTCCCCCTCACTTCCAGCGCCATTTTGACCTACAAAACCCCCAACCCCAACCCC